TGAATGCTTCTTATGGTACAAAATGCTGAATAAGATCATGCTGTAGGATCTCTATGAGTCGGAATCGACTCGACAGCAATGGGTTGGTTTAGTTGGCGTATAGGCCTAGTCTCCAATGAAGTTGGCGGTGAGTGTGGGAACAATAAAGTTGGAGTCATAACAGCTGTTGTGCACATATGTGCGCAGTTCAATTTTGTGTCCTTAGAGTTAATCATTGCCTAACTTGCTATAAATTATGACTCCTGACACCAACTTCATTGTAGACCAGGCCATAGCCTGCTATACAGCAGTGTTTTGAACAGTAAATCATAAAACTGAACATCTGCAAGTGAACATCTGAGAACGATAACATCAGCAAATTATGAACTGCAACACTGTCCGTAGTACATGTTACTAACCATAAGATGTACCAAAAAAAAAAAAAAGTCCTAAGTTTGGTTTGCTGTAACTCGAATGTGTCATAAGTCAAGGACTTCTTGTAATAAAACTACAGTCTGATCCATTTCAGAGCTCTAATCTCATAACCAATTCAAAGATTTCCCTCACCTGATTTGGAACCAGGTTTTTATACCTCATGTGACTGGAAGTGGGGAGGACTCATTATGCTTTCATCCTTACCTTCTCCCACTCTAGACCTCTAGGACTGCAATGCCCTGATTTAGTTCTCAGATACCTTGCCCCAATACTCTGGGTGGAGGCCTGGAGAGAGGAATGAGGGAGAAAAGACAAGTGCCTCTATTTATGTACCCATATCTGTGGCAGGCCTTTTAAGGTTCATTCTGGTTCAAACCCCTACTGAGAAATTTGCATTTCTAATAGGTTTCCAGCAGGTGCCAGTGATCCTCCAGGTGATCACTCCTCTCTTTAGAATATAGGGTACTTAAAGCCTTTTTTGGAGCCCTGGGGGCACAGTGGTTAAGTGCTCAGCTGCTAACCAAAAGGTCAGCAGTTCGAATCCACCAGCCACTCCTTGGAAACCCTATGAGGCAGTTCTACTCTGTCCTGTAGGGTCACTATGAGTCGTTCTCTACTCGATGGCAACAGGTTTAGTTTAATTTTCAGTGCTTTTTTTAAGAGGAGCCCTGGTGGTGCAGTGGTTAAACACTCAGCTGCTAACCAAAATGTGGGCAGTTCAAATCCACCAGCCGCTCCTTGGGAGAAAGATGTCGCAGTCTACTGCTGTAAAGATTTATAGCCTTGAAAAAGCCTACAGGGCGGTTCTACTCTGTCATGTAGGGTTGCTATGAGTTGGAATTCGACTAAACAACAGCAGTGGGTTTGGTTTGGGTTTAATGCCTTTTTTTGCCTTTAGCTCTGGGCCCTGGTCACCAGTCCTGGAGAAACTTCAGTAAAAGACCCGTTTAACATCTTGTTAAAAACGCATGCATAAAATTTACGACAGCTGCTGAAACTGTTGCTAAGCCTTTTTTTCCTAATGTTACTCAGTGGCAGTCCAGTTCTCAGCTTGATAAAATTGATACCTCATCCACATAGTAGATGCAGGGTAGGAAACCAAAAATCTTTTAGCACCCAACAAAACTTTCTGTTCAAAACAAAACAAAAACCTTTTCTTTTCTAGCAAAAATTAGTGGTTGCTTTTGCCCACTCACTCCCTCAAACATCCTTCAGTCTACCCTCTAAACCACCCCCCCCAAGAAAAAAAAATTCTTTCCAAAACATACATCAGATATACTATTTGTCTGCTTTAAAAACATTAAATGTCTTCTCACTGCTGACAGGATATATTCTAACGTCTAGCTTTGCATTCAAATCCCTTTGCAGTCTAGTCTCACATTGTTGCAGGTTCAAATTCAGTTATTTCCTGCCATTTTCAGTGATGCATCCTGAAGACCAGAGTTACAAATTGTCAGTCTGCAGGCTGAGTTTGGGCCCAGACGTATTTTGTCAGTCCCAAATAGTGGTTTTGTTTTGTTTTATTGAGTCAGCATTTAAAAACTGGCTGATCTCACATAGAAATCCAGATTTTTAGCTGCTCGTGGAAAAATAAGGAGTTCTGAAAACACTGGCCCTTTTTCCACACTGTAGTCCTTCCACATATTTAAACAGACTTGCCTTTATACTGGTGGCTCTCAAAGTGTGGTCCAGGCATACGTCTTAATTGACACACTTTGTTCAGGAGCGCTTCTTCTCTCTTCCCTGTTCTTTAAATCAGAGACTACAGGAACACCCTGGAAGCATAGACTAATTTTGTGTGTCCCTGTCTGCATTTTCCTGGAGTAAGTTTCCATGACCTTAAAAAAAGGTTAAGACTATATACTCAAATATACACACATGCACACACAAATACGATGCTTAACATACTTCAGTATCCTCTTCAAGATCAACCCCATCCCAGGTTTTTTTCCTGCCATATCATGTCTTATGCTCTGCTGATAAAAGTCTAACAGATAATATCCTCTGCCCTAAAGGTCATCGCTGCTGTCTTAAGACCACAAAATGTTGTTGTATAGAAAAACACTATCAAAGTGCAGAGTAACTGAGGTGTGGGCAGGAAAGCGTGTGTTACTTTCTTAAATTATCTTTAGATTATTGTTGGCCAAAGAAATTTCATATGCAAGTTTTAATAAGACTCATACATGTTTGTGTGCATAGCTGTGTCATTTATCGCAATAATTCCACTTAAATGTGTAACTTTCCCATAATTTTGTATAATATCTAAAAGAAAAAGTAAAATGAAGTATTATGGCTATAGTTATGTTTTAAAATCCAATAAAGGATACAGAGCACTGAAGAAAAGAGGTACTAGAATGTGGACAATAGTGTAAGTTGTATTTTAAACATTTTTACATATTTTAAAATTTATCTTAAAATAGACCAGTGAAATCACTGAAGGCAAACTAATAATGAAAGTCACAGGGGAGATAATTAAGTGTTTTGCATTTCTAAAGCAAATGTTAATTTTAACTTGCTGTAGAAATGGCAGTATCTAAATTAAGTCTGAAGAAGAGCAGTTACAGATATCTGGGAAGTTATATAAATATTTAGTATAGATCTTAACTGTTAAACTATGTTGGACATCTTGCTTTTTCTTGAATCTGTTTCTAAATTTAAGGTAGGTATAGATCTTTAACAAAGGGAAAAGCAACTTACTAGGGCAGTGGTGGTCACTTTAGTTGATAATAGAAAGGACAGTCTGAGGTAAGTGGATAATTAATAGAGGAAAGAAAGGAAGCAGGGACACATGTTAATGCCCTTAGCTTTTTTTAAAAAAAAAACAGAAAACATAAGATGCTTTGTTTACTAGTAAACAACTTGCTTCGTTTCAAGTTGAAATTTGTAAGGTCTGTGGACTTTATAAGGTGAACTAAGTATTGCCTTGATTTTTTTCCTTTCAGGACTCCCACTTTTGGATTGGCATAAAGTAAAAATTTCTCCAATAATGTCCAAACCTTACTTAGGGTTTGACACTGCATCATGCCCAAGTGGGTGTTTAGTAAAAGTTGTCTGAATGTGATGAGAATACAGTCATGTGTTGCTGAACATCCACATTCATTTTGTGATTTGCACCTTGTGTGAACACCATATTATATATAGGCAGTCCCCCGGTTACGAGTGTCTGACTCATGTACAACCAATAGTTACGAACCAACCCTGGTAAAACCTATTTTATTAAAACCTTATGGGAGCCGTCTTCCAGTCGTCCGCGTTCTCGCTGGAGTTACTGGTAGAGGCCAGAGGAACAGAACGGGTTGAGTGTGGGGCTGGGGTGGTGGTGGCTGAGAGGGCTGTGGAGGGAGCAAAGCCTGAGGAAGCAAGCAAGGAGGGAACGAGCACGCCAAGCCGCGTCCACTGTTCCACCCGCCTGAGGAGCTGGAGCAGCTTGGTCCTCTCTGCCGTCTCCGCCCGCCTGCGTACCAGACAGCCGAGAGCCCATGCCCAGAGCCATGTCCTCTGCCTCACGTGCCTGTATCCCATTCGTGGTCCACTGCTGCAAAAGTCTAGGGTTGGGGTCTTTAAAACCATTAGGGGGAAATAATAAACAGAAGGAGAGTTGCTTTCTCTTAAAAAACAAACGAACACACACCTTACGGGACCACGGATGTATATATACGGTCAAACGTTACCCTAATGGACCGTTTTGCAGCACATGACTAATTTTTTTCAAATGGAATTCTGTTTATGCTCACATGGCACATTTCTCGCGATGGTCTCAGCATCATTGTAAAATAGATGTCTTGTTTGAACTTGAACTCTTGCTGGGTGATTTTTGTCAGTTATGCTGTTAGGTTTTATATAAACTTTTAAAAATTGATTTATTTGGCAAAGTGCAAAATCTTCAAACATTTGAATGTATTATAACTGATTTTAATGGGTATATTTGGGAAGAATGACATTCATTTTCATTTAAATGATAAGCACAAGGACGTTTTTACAAATGTGAGCTGGCTTTAGGAGTTTTATGAAAAGGACTCATTCTCTGTATACTTAACTGCAGTTTTAGCTAAATGGCAAGTAATTGCTATTGCACAGTGTTTGAAAAATTAGAATGAACATTAGCACAGCATCCTGAAAATGTCTCTCTGTAAGATATGCATTGCCTGAATGTATGTAGTCATGTAGTTGTTACTTTGGACTATGAAAGCATTCATTTCTAAACATTTTCTTAGTTTCTTTTAGAGTAAATTAACAAATAACTTCAAGAGAAACTATCATTAATTCCCTTGAGGTGGGACTAGGGGATGGTGTATTCTGCCCCAGCGTATGCTTTGAGAAAATTACTTAGAAGTCAAGGACTCTCAAGTGGAACAGCTTCAAAAAGCTTTGCTGTAATATGTTTTATAAGATGATTCAATCTCGACATGTAAAGACATGTACATGTAGCATTCTAAAAGAAGTATGGAGGTTTTTCTTTCACAGTAGTGTCTCAGTGGTTAATTTGCATTAGTTGAATTTTTGAAAAACACTGTCTAGAATAAATACTGATACTGTATTGTCTTCTCACTTTCACATCATTAATATTATATATCCTTTTCTTTCAGCTCGATATGTCAAGTGACCAGATAGCTGCCAATCTGCAAGCCATTATCAATGACGTCTGTAGGCACAGACCACTGAGTTTGGGTAAGCAGTTCTCTGAGAGTAGATTTCCCTATAGCTCTGCTGTAATACTATAAAGATATAAAATATTTTAAAAAACAGTCAAGTTAATTTGTAAGTACAATACTACTAGTATTACCAGGGATTAAATAATGAGCTGTAGTTGTCTAGAGAGTAGATTTCTTTAATAATAAGGAATACATTCTGAAACCTTGCAAATCCCCACATTATTTCTACTATTAAATGTAATAGAGTTTGAAAGAAAGTTGTAACTGATTGCTTTAAAATTTTAATAGTGTTAAATAAGAACTAAAATAATTTATGAAACGGTATTTTGAAGCAAGACCATTCACTTTGTCCCTAGCATTAGCAATGGCTTTCTTAATCCTCATTCATTCATTCATTTTAGAAAAGACACAGGGTTTTTATCATTTCATGAGAGTCAGTTTTTATAAATGGGATGATTCATGGAGAACAATAAGACTTGATTGAGATGTGGAAGCTTGAGATGTGTGAATGTGGTAGGCTAGCAACAGTCTAGTCCAGGGTCTATCCTTGCATTATGTGCCGTTCAAATTCCTTAGTCAAATTTCACTTGTGGTTGAAGCCCAGCAAGGGTCCATTATAGTCAATATACTTATGGGTTTACCATGATAAGAGTTTGTCAGGTTTAGTTTTATAACAAAGTTTATACTTAAAACTCAATCTTAAACTATTTTTCCCCTTCTGTGGGAGTTAAACACAACGGTGAATAAATACGTCACTGGTTATTTTTATTGTCCTAAGTAAAATATGGCCATAGTACTTGGTAATTGTATGTATATGGATTCTTACATTCCATGGAGAACTTTAGTTTCTGTATAGAATCCTCCAAAACTACAGCAGGAATATAATAATGGACAGTAAACCTTCTGAAAACAATATAGTTATCTTCTTTTTGCCATTTTAAATGAAGCCCCTTAACATTGTTCTTATGAAAACCTTTTCATTTTTAGGGAATTTCACTCAGTGTTTGGTAACACAAAGGTACCATCTGTGCTGGCTGTTTTAAATAAATATTTAGAGTATTTACATCAAATGTGAATATCACCACCTGCTCCCTTCACTGTTGACTTTGCAATAAAGTAAATTCTATGTGATTACCTTCTGGAAAAGAGAAATGAATTATTAGTGAGTATGAGTAGTTTCAAGGACAAATCCCTGGTATTCTGAAGTACAGCTAGTTTGTCCTTTAGAAATGGAACTGTCTTCCCTTTTTTTAATAATGTGAAGTATTAGTTCAGTAATACCAGAACTTTATAAGTGAAAACATGACATGAATCCTGTAAAGTTTTTTATTGTATTTTTGTATTTGCTCATTAGGTATCTGTGGAATAAAATAAAAGTTGATTCTTGTCTTTGTTTCTAGGACCCTTTGTGGTACGCGCTTTCCTTCGTAGTTCAACAAGTGAAGGTTTGTTACTAAAGATCGAGCCATTGTTGCCTAAAGAAGTGGAAACCAAAGAAAGTAATAAAGAAACTGCCTAAAAGTACTGACTTTTGAAATTATTTTTAGTGAATTGTGAAGCTGCAGAGAAAACTCCAAAACTGCATAATTTCTAAGTTTGGTGTTCTCTTGTTATTTCTTGATCGTCATACTTGAAAGTGAATTTTAACACTGAAAAATCTTATATGACAATTTCAAATATAAGAAAATAAAATTTTTTTCTGTGTCTGAACATACTTTTTAGATCCTGTCATATTTTCTTCCTTAGGATTCAATTCTACATTCTGGTAATTATAGCAGCAATTTCTAGCTTAATAACTTTCCCTTGAGAGCCATAACCATCTGAGGGAATAGTAACATCCTCAATTCCCAAAAGAGAAAGAAGGACCGAGTCATGAGCTACCATACAACTCTTTTTTAAAGAAAAAAGTGTGGAAAATGTTCATTTTAAAGGATTATGGATATCATTTGTGATAGTGTGAGTATGGAAAATGACTAAACCATTAAAATGTGCGCATGGAAAATCTTTTTTCTCTTAGGGGGCATCAAGTTGTAATAATAATAGCTTATTATTATTTTTGGTGCTTTATAATATACAAGATACCATATATAGTATTTTCACATACTTGACCTCATTTGATCCTGAGGTATTTGATAAGTGTTTGTTGAGTGAACATCCCTATTGAGGTAGATAAGGACGACTTCATTTATGGATGAGGAATCGAGCTAAGAAGTTGTGTCTCATCATCAAATACCCAGTTTACAGACTGGTGTTGATCCTTGACCAAGTGTTCACTGCTGTATAACAAAATGAAAAAATTAGGATAATTCTGACATGCAGCTGCCAACTGTCTTTTCTTGGGAATGATTTCCTTTACTCTGAGATTATCGTCTACTTTTTTAGGGGGTATTCAAAGGCTTTTCTTTTATGAAATAGTAGTGATGGTAAATGTGTTGGTAGTGTTTTAATACACCCTCTTTGTAAGTAAATTGACTGCCCCATGTAGTTCTCTCAGATTGTTTTGGAAATTTGAGTGTCTAGGAAGCCCTAATGAGTGTGAACAACCACTCTATCCCACTAAGCTTCTTCCCTACAGGAAAGTATTCAAATATAGGAGCTGCTCACCAAAAACAACAATAGGAACATTAACTATAAAACAATAACAGCAGCTTCCCTTTTTGAATGCCTACTGCTATCTTATGGTTTATGTACATTCTCTCATTTCAGCCTCACAGCAATTCAAGAGAAGGAAATTGAAACTTACACAAGGTCACCTTATCTAGTAGGTGACAAGCTAAGATGCAAACCTGGATCTGTCTGACTTTTGAAGCCTATTCTCTTAGCCGTTAGCCTATTTTACCTCTTTTTTTTTTTTTTTTTTATGTTCTAACATAAATCAAATGGTTTGACTGGACATTTTAAATTTTTAAAATACCGAATAATACTTCAGTTTTGTGGTATCTTCAGTGATGGCGTTATGACAGGGCTGATGTGAAGAAATAGGAGTGGAAGAGTTGGAAGGAGTAGGATGAGAAGAATAGTGTGCAGGATGGAGACGAAAAGATATCTGTTTGTTCCTCACAGTTAGCATCTTTTGATAGCTTGCTGATTAATCATTATTTGAAGATCCTGATTCACAAAGAAGCAGCTCTTTTTTTATTTATGGTTTTTTTCTAATTAATAAAGTAAATGTACCCTTATTATCGAAAAATTTAAAAACACTGATAATTAGAATAAATCATTGATAATCCTTCTACTCAGAGTTAGCGGTGTTAGTATTTTGGTGCTTTCCTTTTCTTTTTTTTGTGAGAATGTGTGTGTGTGTACACACATACCAGCACACATACTTTTTTTTTTTAACCGTGGTTGAACTCATACTGAATATATAATTTTGAATCCACATTCTCACATGATGTTATAAAGTAAACATTTTCCCATCTTTAAAACCTCTATGAAAAGAATCATTTTAATGGTTGAGCAATATTTTGCCCTACTGATACTATAATTTGTGGAATCATTCACCCATTGTTGGCTATTTAAATTGTTTTAGTGTCGTCCCCCCCACCCCCACCCAGTTATTTATGATGTTTTGGGGACACTCTTTTGAGAATAATTTTTTTCCCTCACTACTTCTAGAAGTGGCGTTTGTGGATCCGAGGGTATGATATAGCTAAAGGTCTTATGTATTAGAAAGATGCCGTTTTGATCACAACAAACCAGAGCAAGGAAATCTGGTTAGAAAACTTGTCAGGTACATTCCAGGGTCTTATTAACTGGCCTGTGAATAAATTATTCCCTATCCTTCCATTAGAACATATTTCCTATTGGCTAACTAGAACTAATGTTAAATGTTTATAATGATAAGTGTTTGGAAAAATAGTAGCATTGCACTCAGTTACTCTTTTTTTAAAATTGTACTTTAGATGAAGGTTTACAGAACAGACTAGCTTCTCACTAAACAGTACACATATTGTTTTAAGACATTGGTTAACAACCTCACGACATGTCAACCCTCTCCTTTCTCGACCTTGGGTTTCCTATTACCAGTTTTCCTGTCCTCTCCTGCCTTCTCGTCTTTGCCCCTGGGCTGGTGTGTCCCTTAGTCTTGTTTTGTTTTATGGGCCTGTCTAATCTTTGGCTGCAGGGTGAACCTCAGGAGTGACTTCATTACTGAGCTAAAAGGGCGTCCGGGGGCCACACTTCTGAGTTTCTCCAGTCTCTGTCAGGCCAGTAAGTCTGGCCTTTTTTTGTGAGTTAGAATTTTGTTCTACATTTTTCTCCAGCTCTGTCCGGGACCCTCTATTGCGATCCCTGTCACAGCAGTCGGTGGTGGTAGCCGGGTACCATTTACGTGTACTGGACTCAGTCTGTTGGAGGCCATGGTAGTTGTGGTCCATTAGTCCTTTGGACTAATCTTTCCCTTGTGTCTTTAGTTTTTTTCATTCTCCCTTGTTCCTGAAGGGATGAGACCAGTGGAATATCTTAGATGGCTGCTCACAGGCTTTTAAGACCCCAGATGCTACTCACCAAAGTAGAATGGAGAACATTTTCTTTATAAACTGTGTTATGGCAATTGGCACTCAGTTACTCTTAATGCAAATCTCTTTCTCATTTTATTATTGTATTTTATTGGTATTTGAGAATGGCAAATTCAATTTTATATTTAGAAAAAGAGTAAGAACTTGAAAGTTGTTTTTTTTTTTAATTATTTTGTTGTTGAGAATATAGACAGCAAAACATAACACCAATTCAGCAGCTTCCACATGTACAATTTGGTGACATTGATTACATTCTTCGAGTTGTGTAAGCATTGTCACCCTCCTTTAGAACTTAAAAGTTTATGGTATCACTGATTCTCAAACTTTAGCTTGCATACAAATCACCTGGTGGGCTTGTAAAACAAATTGCTGGGCTTCACCCAGCAGTCTGGAGTAGACCTTGAAAATTTGCATTTCTAACAAGTTCCCAGGTGATGATGATGATGATGCTGGTCCAGAGACCACACTTTGAGAACCACTGGTATACACTAATGGTTACTAACTCTGGCTAAATAAAAAAATCTCTAGGTTTGGTTCCAACATCAGTTTTGAACACTCCACAGATGATTCTGATGCAGCAGGGTTGAGAATCACTGCTATATGCAATTAGTCAATTTATAAAAAGATGTAAAATTTGCAATAAAAGTCAAGATTTTAAAAGACTGAAATAAAAAAATAAAATGCACTGAATTTAAGGATCAGGGTTAGTCTCTAGTTTTCTGATCTATCCCTCTGTGTAAATAATTTCAATTCTGAACTCTAACCCTGTGGGCAAATAATTTAAATCTGGGTTCTTCTGTAAAATTAGGACATCAGATGATTGTCAGTGTGCTTTCTAACCAAAACTTCTTGATACACATTTTAGCAGGTGGCATTTCATGCTGTTAGAAGTGATGTAATAGCATTATTAGCATTAATATAAACAATCAAGTAAACATAAACTTAATAGTATTATTTAAAACATTATATTGTTAAAGACCAAGTGCTGGGATGAGGGTGGGGATTTAGGTAAAACCTATTCAATAGTAATTGTTTTTTTTTTTTAACATTCTTGTTAATTTTTTAAAGCAAGTAGTCAATCACAGTGTCCAGCAGGTGGCGATAATAACCTTTCATACAGCTTTTAAATAGTGGTGTACTTATTGGTAAATACTTGTTTTTTCACTTGAGTACACAAACATAATAGCACAGTACTTTATAGACCACTTGGGGCTTTTCTTTGGAGTGGGTTTTTTGTTTATTCATTTTGTTCTATTTTGGGCATGATAGAGGTGTTGCTTTAGGTATCTGTCTGTAATAATGCATTTGTAGAGGTTTTTTTTTGTTAATTTCTTTTTAAACTTTTATTACAGAATTTGCAAATATGCAGAAAATAAAATAATAAGATAATGAACACCAACATACTCATCACCCATTTTCAGCAGTTATGAACATTCTGCTACTGTTCTGATTTCATCTATCCTTCTCACCTACCCACCACCCCCCTATTCGACCTTATCCCTGCTAGAGTAATTAAAAGCAAACCCTATATGTCAAATCACTTAACCTATAAATAGAGTTTTAAGAACACCTACGCTATTCTTAATTCTTAGAATTACAGGAGGATTTTAATGGCATGTTTTTCAGAACCCACTGTTTTTGTGTTCTACTCTTGCCTTTAAATGAATTTAGTTTGTTTGGATTGTGTTTTTCATTAATAATGGGCAAAACAACTATTTTCAGTTATTTGAGAACATAGAGTACATAGTACCATAATTAGCCATTAAATATGAGAAAATGTCAGTGTTTTAAAAAATAAACAAGAAGAAATTCATATCTTCACTTAAATTTTTATTTTTAAGCCAAAGTAGAAAATCAGAAACCTCACTGTCTTCTTAAAAGGAATAAGTTGAAGTAATATTCAATTTTAATATGAAGATATTTAAAAAAAGGCACATTAAATAAAATTTGGCAAGGAGAGAAAGGAAGAATAAAATGACCCATAATTTCTAAAACAACCACTTAACATTTTGATCTATCTCTTCTTTCTCCCTATGAGAATGTCCCCTCTCCCTGAGATGACCATGATCATGGTTGTGATCATGTTGGATATAAAATGTTGTATCACATATTTTCAATGGTAAGAATTTTTCAGTTATTACATAGACTAAATATTCAATTTTTAAGGGCTAAGTCATTGTTTAGGCTAATGAA